TGTGCCACAGTGATGGAACCCTGACAAACACGACGCCTGAGTCTCTGCACCTGGGTGTGTGTGCACATGCACGCGGGGACAGAAGGGCCTTGCATCAGAACTTCCGTCAGCAGTTATCTCCTCTCCTGCCCCCAACACGTTAAGGACCAGCCCGTGGACAGATCCCCTTTGTGTTCCCAGTGTTGAGGAGTGAAGAGTCCAGAAGACAGAGAAACTGGAGTCTCTGCCCTCAAGGTTCTAGGGGAAGCAAGTCTTATTTCTCTAATGTGCAAACGGCGACCAAATTCACTGCATGGGGGATCCTGAATAATTCCCCCAAAGTAATCTGGCCAATCCCATTGGGAAGTGCAGGCCCCAACAGTCCCTGATATCGTCTGTCACCAGGTTTCCTCTTCAGAGGAATGGCCAGAGTGAGAGCTGCCACACTTGTTTGGGTAATAGCCTATGGCTAAACTAGGCATTTTCTGTGGCCAGAGAAGTGCTGTAGGCAAATACCCTAGCAATCGCCTTTAAACCGCGGGAAAACCACCGGCACCAGTGACATTTCCCGAAGTCTGGAAGCTGGTGCCAAGCAGAGTGGAGGGAAGTGCCTGTGAGATGTTCCTTCATGCCCACATCTGTGTTGTCTTACAGGTCAGACAACTCAGCCTGGCAGAGCTCAGCCTGGCAGAGCAGGGCAGAGGCAGCGCCTGCACAGACTCACAGATGGTTCCTACTTCCTTGCTGTGAGACCCTAGGAGAGCTTGTTCCTGCCTCCTCATCCTTGGCTTCCTCCCCCTAAAACAGTGAGGCGACACCACCTTCCTCACAGGATCGTTAGAGCCTTAAATAAAAATTTTAAATGTGCTGAATGCTGCTTGGCAATGTTATTATTTCAATGCAAATTGCTCCTTTCCTCTACAGACTCAGAATTCTCCCTACGCCCAATTTTCGTTTGGAACTTAATTTAAGGAAACGAAAATTACAATGCACTTCCCCACCATATCAGAGTGGCACATCATCAAGTTTGGCGAAAGGTTGTGGGGAATGGGCCCTTCCGCCTCCTGCTTGTGCTGATATAAATGCTGCAAGCCTGGGATGTAGACCTGACAGTGGTCCTTGCCTTCGACTCAGCAGGGTTACTTCCAGCAGCTTACCTTAAAGACACACTACCAAAATAAACAGAGAGATGCAGGTCATATTGACCAATGACAGCACATGGTCCTGATTGCTCCATATTTGGAGAAATCATTTGTGGATACAAGACAGAAATATGAGCAAGGATTGGGTGTTTGACAATCCTGAGGAACTGCCATTGATGATTTTAGATGTGGTCATGGTCCTGAGGTTTTGTTTTTCTTTAAAGATTCTTATCTCTTAGAGGTAATTGCTGAAATATTTATGAATGGAATACAATGTCAGCTGTGCTTAAAAATAGTCAGGAAGAGGGAATGTGTGGGTGACAGTACTTGGGGGTTTATTATAGTGTCCTATATTTGTGTTTGTGGGAGAGTTCCCATAACCAAATCAGGACAGTACAGATATGGAGAAAACCCTACCAAGCTCTCCCCTCTCCCCAGGGAACCTTGGCTTCCAATGCTCCGAAGCCTTCCACACATTTTCTGGGCATTTAAGTACTATCTGTGTACTAATTCTTCATTTACAGTAGTGTTATTTACCCTTGCTGATTACCTTCTCTCGTATCTTTTCCCAGTCCTGTGTTAGGGACAGGCTCCACATCAGCACACAGAGATTGGCACATTGGCACACACACCATTGCTGTCCCATTGCTACGTAAGTGGCAGGGTAAGAGTGTGCTGCAGAGTTATTTACACACTCCCATAATGCTAAGCGTTTCTGGTTGTCCCCAACTGGTTTACTCCAGCCAACACTCCAGTGGCCATTCTTGGATGTATCCACCCATGCATGAGAGTGCTTCTCCAGAGGAGGGAGTAAGATGGGATCCAAAGCCAGTGAGATGGTTCAGTGGGTTCAGGTGCCTTCGGCAAAGACTGAGGACCTCAGTTTCATCCCTGGGACCCACATAGTGCAAGGAGAGAACTGACTCCCACAAGTTGACCTCTGACCTCTATACCCAAGCACAGAGGCACAACTGCACACAAATATAGACATCCCTCACAGGTGTTCCCAGAGGTTCGCCCCCTGAAGGATTCTCGGTCTTGGAAGATAGATAATTAACACTAACTATTGCCCATGTTTTAATAAAATAATTTTTCTTTCATGAATCATTAATGGATAGAAAACCTGCCCTTCAATTATTCCCATCCCACCTCCCACACACATATAGTGTTTTACTTGGCATGCAGTCACTCAGACCCAGCCTCCTTGATCTCTAGAGCTGGTGGATCAGGATCCTGATAGCCCCCCACCCCCAATACCTGAGAGCCACATCTCTCCTATGACATAGTAAATAGAAACATCATTGAGTGGGAGTGTAAGACTGGAGGAATGATTTTAGGGTACTTGAACAGCAATGTCCTTCTAACTGTGGGACCTCAGCTGACCTAGAAACTAACATACAACCCCAGAGTGCATCAAAAAGAAGAAGACACTGGCTCTATGGCTTCCTCTGTCCAGATTAGTCAGGCTGGGCTGGATCAGGATCCCGTGTCCTGAGGCTGTCTACTCTTACAATGCAGCTGAGTGCTCTTTGCTATGGCAGCTGCTTTTGCCCGCAGATCAGAGTTCCTGAAGTCTCTGTGCCAAGCATCTTCCTCTGGTGCAATTCCCTTCTTAATTCAGCCAGATGCTGATGCCAAGCTTTCATGGGCACACCCAGAAACTTCTGTGTCTTATATGGCTGTTTTCTCCTTCTCACTCATCATTTGCCTTACTTCTGAAAAGTCTTGTTTCATAAATCTCATCCTATGACTCTTCTGTATGTTGCTTCATCTTCCTTGAAAGGGAGAAAGGACCCAGATAAGTCTCTTCCATACAATTTTATAGGTTTGGGTTTGATAGCATTATACTGGAGAAATCTCGAGGCCGAGATGACCTCACCCGCATTTAGAAAACCGCATCCTTGTTTGGAGAAGTGGTTGCCTCAAGCTGGACCACAAAGAGTACAAAGTGAGCTTAGAAAGCCCTGCTGTTTGGGGAAGTAAAGACACACTCGAAGAATGATGAGGACATGTCAAAATATGGCCAGGTTTCCAGGGCCAAGTCTAAACTAATTTGAACATCAAAATAAACAAGGATACAGCCTATGGAAGGAAATCAATCTGAATATGCTACACTTGATTAAGTAATCACTGGGGAGAGAAGTTATCTTAGCTTCTTCTCCTGTTGTGATAAAACATCGAGAAATGAAACTTAAGGGAAAATGGGTTTATTCTAGCTTGTGAGAATCCGGCATGATGGCGGAAGAGGAGGCAGCAGATGTGGTGATACATTGTGTACCCTAATAAAATGTGCCTGAAGATCAGAGAGAGAAAGGAACAAGTCATGTCTTACCTCTAGGACTCTTCAGCCTGGAAAAGCCTCAGCCGATAGGCCTCCCGCCAAATGAGCTTCCTCAGCCAAAAAAACCTCTAACTGAAAGGGACACACACTTCTGTCAAAAGGCCTTCAGTTCCTGTCTCCTCAGCCTTATATGCCTTTCTCTGCCCAGCCATCACTTCCTGGGATTAAAGGTGTGTTTGCTCCCCCCCCCCCCACCGGGCTGGGATTAAAGGTGTGTGCCGCCACTGCCTGGCTCTGTTTCTCTCCCAGACTGAGTCAATCTCATGTAGTCCAAGGTGGCTTTGAAATCACAGAGATCCAGACGGATCTCTGCCTCCTGAGTGCTAGGATTAAAGGTGTGTGCCACCAGTGCCTGGCCTCTATGTTTAATCTAGTGGCTTGTTCTGTTCTCTGATCAGGCCAATTTTATTAGGGTGCACAATATATCACCACAAGCAGAAGCTCAAGGCAGCTGGTCACATACACACACACACACACACATACACACACACACACACACACACACACACACACACACACACACACACTGCATTCGCAAACACGAAGCAGAGAATGATGAGTCACACTGCCACTGAGTTCCCTCTCTTCATTTATACAGTCTAGGATTCTAGCCAGGGAATTGTGCCACCCACACTGGGCAGGTCTTCTCTCCCCAAAGAACGAAGATAAGATAGGGGCCTGTCTCCCAGACAATTCCGGGTTATATCAGGTTGGTGATTAGTACTGACCATCATGGAAGCCGTCCTCCTTCCAGCGGCAAGACAACCGAGAAGTGGGAAAGGAGTGGTAGGATCAGAAAAGAACCAAGTTAACAGCCGCCAGGGAAGAAGCACCAACCAATGAACATCCTGGTGGGTGAGAATGTGGGAAATAATGGAATATTTATATAGTCTGAAGGCATCTCCCCACAAAAGAACCTCACCAGGGAAAAACTTAGGGGCTCAAAGCTAGCCTCTGCAGTGATGGGACAGTTCAGCCACACACGTTTCCTGCTATCATGCTTGAAGGAGCATGCAGCCTGCCTTCTGGGACATTTCTATAAAAGCATCACAGTGTGACCCTTGTCACATGGAAACATCAGATGGACTCAAGGCGGGGGTTCTTTTATAAAACCATTCACCAGAGAACCAAAAAGAACGTACATCTAAAAAGAATGAATCAATTGATCGACAGATTGATTCCTTAGGCCTTAATATGCATGATTACAAAAAAAAAAAGAATCAGTCAGGGTGCTTCAAGAATATCAATATCATGGAAAACAAAGAAACACTGGGAACTGATCCAAATCAAAGAAGACAAAATAGACAAGACAATATGATAGCAGGCTTCTCTTCACCACGAAGAGCGTCGTGAGTATAATAAAGAATATGGAAATAAGATTTGTAGATTAGAAGGTCCCATGCAAATGCTGATTGCCTGCTTGATAACTATGGTCATGCTAGAGAATGGCCCTGCTTTGGGGTGACAGACTGTCAGGTATTTGCCAGCTTTCTTAGTTCGTGTGGGGTCATATTAAAAAAAATACCATAGACGGGGTGGGCTGAGCAATACAAAATGATTTATTCCAGTTACAAAGGCTGGGAGGTCCAAGATCAAGGTGCCAGCACTGCTTGGGTTCTGGTGATTTCTCACCTCCTGGTTTGTAGATGCACATCTAATTATATCAGCCTGAAAGAGAAAAGAAAGGAGGCGAGTTCTCTCACTGCCATCTTGAATCTTTTTTAAGGTCACTAATCATTCTGGAAGGCTCCACCCTATAGCCTTCAGAAAATCCCATCTCCTGAAGCCACCTTGGAGGCCGCGCTTTCACGTATGAATGTGGAGATACCCAAACATGGAGACTACAGCAGCAGCAGAGGGCCTTCGCTCATGTTTGTAACTTAGGAGCAAACGGTGTGTTTCAGTTTCCATCCGAAGCAGCTAAGGAAGAAAGGGCTTGTTTGGCTCCCAGATGCTACGGTCCATGATAGCAGGGAATCATAGCAGTAACTGGACGCACTGGTCGTCTTGCCTTCACAGTCAGGAAGCCAAGAGTGATGAGTGCTTGTGGTCAGTTCATCATTTCCTTTCCATCTAGCCCAGGAAATGGTACCGCTCACAATGGGTGGGTCTTCCTACCTCAATTAATCTAATCAAAATAATCTACCATAGGCATGCCTACAGATCCCTCTCCTAGGTGACTCTAGGTCTCCTTTGACAATTAAGATTGATCATCATATAGGAGACAGACAGGACTACCTGGTAAAAAGTTTTATCTGTAAGCCTAGAAGGTGGCTCTGTAGGTAAAGGCTGCTGCCACAGAGCCTGATAGTTGGAGTTCAATCCCCAGGCCCCACATGATGGTCCACAGGTACACCATGGCATATGGGCACACACACACACATTTAAAAATACTATCTGAAAAATCTAGGTAAAGGGCTGATGAGAATCCATGGTATAATTGTTCTAATTTTCAGTAAGTCTGAAATCATGCCAAACTAAAAAGAAAAGAAAAGTGGGTAATATACCCAAACCACCTCCTCCAAAAAATGCACTCCAGATCTTGAGCCTAAAGAAAACACACCATCCTCTCTCAGAAGCCAACGTTGCTCCCACCCCGGTACTTACCTTCAGCCCCCCATCTACACCATTCTGACTACAGTCTGGTGAGCCAGGGAGCTGTAAAATGGCACTCTCTCTTCTCTCCTGGTGCTAAATACCTCCACTTCTCCATGTGTCCCAGACCACAGATAGAGTGCCGCCGGGACATGTGTCGTGACCCGGTGCCCTTGTCTCTCACCCTGTGTCCCATCAGCATCAAAAGGCAGGAATTATGCCTGCCTTACTGACCATTAAAACTCTCAGTGTGGGGCCCCGTGCAAAATAAAGATACAGCCCTCCTGGTAGAAAAATAGTTATGAGTTTTAAGACAGAGACAGACAAGCATTAAATCTAGTACAAAAACCTTCCTGTGTGAACCAGAGGGCACAGCCCAGTGATGCTGCCCACAGCCACCACAGTACCAGTGCAGAAAAGGGACTCTGTAAATGTGTGCTGTGTGACTGAATAAATAATGTTCCTTGGGCACATTTCCAGTCTGAATTTGAAGCTGAGGTCTCCAAACGTTTATACTCATATTTGATAGGAGCCTTCACAAACCAACACAGGATAGACTTGGAATCCAGGGGCAATCCTTCCATGCAGTGGAGATGCTGGGATGCCTCCAGCCTCCCACACTCTCCTCCTCAAAGCCACCTCCCTGGACCAGTCAATGTGGGCTCTTGACATTTTGAAACTCTATGTAAGAAACAGCCCTTGCCCACCTCCCCTCACAGATAATCCACCTGCTTCCCCCTCTCCCCGCCCTCAGACTCATTCCAAGTACAGAATGTTCTAGCCAGACTGGGCTTTGAATAGGGGCCATCAAACCCCCTTTCACTCGTGACCTACATTGCCATTGGTTCCATGGATGGTGCATTTTGTAACTCAAGGAGGAGAATGTTACTATGACAACAGCTCCTGGAGCTACAAGGATGCAAAGCACCTACTTAAAAAAGTTCACTCACCCATATGGCAAATGGACTTTATCAGTTGTTTCTAAATCTGAATCCAAACTGGGTGAGCTGAAAAGGCATTGTCAAGGGCTAATCATACTGTGGCATCAGAGCTACCACTGAGATGTCAGACAATGAAGACAGAGCACAAGAGTTGTTTGGGTTTTTATTTATTTCATTTGTTTGGTGGATGTGTGCCATCATGTATGTGTGCAAATCAAAGGACAGCTCTTGGGAGTCACTTTCGCCTTCCACCATACTGGACCGAAGCATCATCCTCAGGGTGGCATATTTAGCTGCAAGCACCCTTACCTGGTGAGCTATGACACCACCCAGGGATTGTTTTAAAAAACAATTATTATTACAAAGTAGCAGGATTTTTCACTTACTAACGTGAACTTGACCATAACAGTCAAAGCAGAAGTCTACCACCAAAGACTGATTCTCTCTTCAGAAAAATCTCACCATTTTCCTTATTTCTCTCTGTTCCACCATCCAGCAGACGCTGTGGGGACAGGAACAGAATGAGAGAGTGAGGTCCTTGGGCCTAAATTCCTGCCTTTCTGTTTGCCTATGCACAACGTGACCTTAGGTAAGTTATTTCTTCTTGGAGTCCTAGTCTCTTCACAAAATACATCTGCTCCTTCAGTAATCCAAATATTCATACCTATTTCTTAAGCAGCTTCTAAAAACCTGAAGAGCTGGGCGGTGGTGGCGCATGCCTTTAATCCCAGCACTCATGAGGCAGAGGCAGGCGGATCTCTGTGAGTTCGAGGCCAGCCTGGTCTACAAAGCGAGTTCCAGGAAAGGCGCAAAGCTACACGGAGAAACCCTGTCTCGAAAAACCAAAGGAAAAAAAAAAAAAAAAAAGAGCCTGAAGAAATATCCTTTCCCTCAGGAGGAGAGGCCTGAAGACAGGGTTAGGTTGAAATCAAAGTAGACATCATGATCACTTGTTGTTGCAGAATATTTATTTAACTATGTAAAGATGTGTTACATTTGTTTATGTTACAGAATGTTTATGTAAGATGTGTTGCATTTGTTTAACTATGTAAAGATGTGTTGCATTTGTTTATGTTACAGAATGTTTGTTTAACTATGTAAAGATGTGTTGCATTTGTTTAATTATGTAAAGATGTGTTGCTGTTTTACCTTGCCTGCCTAAGGCACCTGGTCTAATAAAAAGCTGAATAGATGATAGAGAGGGAGGAGGTATAGGTGGAACTTCCAGGCAGGGAGAATAAGTAGGAGGAGGAATTTAGGGTCAAAAGAAAGAAAGAAAAAAAAAAGGAAATGACAGGGAGTCACCAGGAGACAGCCAGCCAGACACAGAGGAAGCAGGAAAGTAGAACATACAGAATGAAAGAAAGGTAAAAAGCCCTAAGGAAAAATGTAGATGAATAGAAACAGGTTAAATTAAAAAGAGCTAGTGGGATAAGCCTAAGCTACGGCCAAGCATTCATAATTAAAAATGAGTCTCTGTGTCTTTATTTGGGAGCTGGTTGGTGGCCCAAAGAAAATTCCAACTACAACTCATTGTCTTTGCTTTGTTCCCTGACCTATCCCCCCATTCCAGGAAGTTGCAGTCTCCTGTGATTCCCAGAGCCCCAGTTTTCCATCACAACCTGGTTCAGTTAGGGTAAGTGCCTGACTATATCATGTACTATCTTCCACTTGGACTCTAAGTAGCTTCCTTGAAAGCAAAGAACATCTTAACCTCCTCCCCACAAGTCCACCGAACCTGGCACCAAACATTATGTTTTGTATATAGTTCTCCATAATTCAAAGAACTTTGCACAGCCAGGGTCCACAAGTAGGTTTGAACTTTTTCTTGTATTCTTTGCCCAATCAGTGAAAAATCCAGTAGCAGCTCCGTAATTTCTGTAATGGGGAGCTTAAGAGAGACATTGGGGGCTGGAGAGATGGCTCAATACTTAAGATCACTTGCTGCTCTAGGTCCCATTGTACAAGACAACACCTACACAACTCACTGAACATGAAGAAGTTGAGCCACATAGAGCCTTCACCACTATGTCCTAGACCATGGTACAGGAAGGTACTCTGCATGCTACCAAAGGAGAAACATAAACACCAAGCCAGCCATAAACCCTTTGATCTAAAATGGTGTCCTGCCTGCAAGCTATGCTAGGGCAATGGTGGCACAAAACTCTTGGGAGTAACCAACCAATATCTGATTTGACTTAAGGCCCACTCCACAAAACAGAATCCATATCCGACACTGCTAAGGTGATGAATAACTTGAGACTAGATGGCTCTGGAACCTAGTTTAAAACTAAATAATACTGTTCTACTAAAAGAATGTGGTCTATACTCACAGACCAGTGTCTTGCTCAGCCATCATCAGAGAAGCTTCTTCCTGCAGCAGATGGGAACAAATACAGAGACCACAGCCAGACATTACACAGAGAGTGAGTAACCTTGAAACACTCATTCCTAAATGAGATGTCTCCATCAAATCTCTCCCCTCAGGGCTCAGAGAACACTGTGAAGGAGGAGGTAGAAAAAGTGTAAGAACCAGGGGAGGTGGAAGACACCAAGAAAGCAAGTCTCTAAATCAACATGATCAAAGCTCATATGAACTCACAGAAACTGAGGAAGCACAGGGCCTGTCCAGGTCTGCACCAGGTCCTCCGCATATATATTAGGGCTTCCAGTTTGTTGTCTTATGAGATTCCTGAGTGTGCAAATGAGGTAGTTGGTCTCTGGCTCTCGTGCCTTCTCTTGGGCTCTTTTCCTTCTGTTTGTCTTGTCCAACTTTGATGTGTTAGTTTTTATGTTATTTTATTATTATTCCTTAGAAATCTGTTTTCTGATAAGAGACAGAAAGGGGGTGGATCCAGATGGGAGGGAAGTTGGGGAGGAACTGGGAGGAGTATAGGGGAAACCATAATCAGGACATATTATGTAAAAAAGAAATCTCTTTTCAATAAAAGGGGGAAAAAAGCTCATGTGCTGCTCTTCCAGAGGACCCAAGTTCAGTTCCCAGAACCCATGTCAGGTGGCTCGCAACTGCCTGTAACTCCAGTTCCAGGGCATCCAATGCCCCCGTCTTGCCTTAGTGAGCATCTGCATACAAGTGGGCACACTCACAAAGATATACACACATATACATAG